AATAACCAAGGGCCTAATACAGAGTCAGTGCAATGTGTGTTCAACCATGGTATGCTTATTAATCAGAATAATAAATTGGTTTTGAATAAATATTGCCTTAACTTTAAAAAAAATCATCACATAATTAAAAATTTCTGATGAAAACTCAGTATCATAACCAAATTGATTAAAAAACAAAGTGTGTAGGACTGTTTTCACAAGTTCTTAATAAACTGACTATATACCAAATCTAAATCAGTACAACATTGTTTAATTTTATTTTAAAGGATGTGAACATGACTACTTACATGTTAGATTCTTACAACATAGTTTCCTGGAAAAGTTCCTAAAATCCCTGTTCTTGTGGAGGTCCCCACATACCAACCATCATTACACTTTTCCATAACATAAACTATGTCTCCTTCAAGAAGCTCAAGTTCATCATTATTCTGAGGTCTGTGTGAGTATAGGACCCTGTAGCTAGAAGTATAGAAGTAATAGCTACATGTAACATGCACAATATAATTTTACAATAGTTTTAAGTTGTTACAGTTACCTTTTTCATTTTCTCTCAAATTTTAAAACACTGCTTTGTTGCAATGTAATAAGTATATAAAATAAGCTTGGTCATGGTTCTTCGTAACATAGTAAGCTAACTAAATCCAAGTTAATAAATATTACCAGTTTGTAGAATACTAGACATCAGTGGATAATTATTATTATTATTAGTTTTAAAAAGAAAATTCAACCTGTTACATGATTGTAAAACTATCTTGGGGGCTATGGTTTTTTTAAAGAAACACTAGCAGAAACTAAAAACAAAATGGCATATCATGCAAGTAAGTTGTTTTTTGTAAACCATGTTGTAGGACCTATAATATATAGCTGTAATGAGCATACATAGTGTTCTTATTTTATTTGATCCAAGTTCAGGTGTAATGCTGACACCCTGATGAAAATATTTTACCAGTCATCTATCAAAGAAATATCAAGTTCAAATGTAAAAGATAATTTCTTTCAATACTTACGGGATTAAGCCGTTGTAAGTATCTATGTGAAGGCTCTGAGTGATGGGCTCTTTTTCATCTTCATAAGTTCTTCTAACCTGATGTTTATCTCTGGGCTTCTTTGATAAAAAAAAAAGAAATTATAATTATACTTAATGTGGATACTTAAAACAGACACTTAAATGTACCTTGTAATTCTACAATAAGTATGTAACTGCAGACATAAGTTATAGTGCAAAATGTCTACTGATATAATGATACCTCCTATTGTATCTTACAACAAGTCTGACATAAAGACAATCAGTTTGTATCTCATAACACATCTATAGGATAAATTTAGTTTCAAGTTATTTAATTTTTGACAAATTCTCTTACCGACACAGAATTATGGGAGTTGGGAGTCTGTAGGTGGTCCCATGCTTGTGGACTTCTAGTGAAAGATGGCTCCTTGCCAGAACTATTTATGATTCAATACAAAAAAAGCTTCCATTGTTATTTAACTGTGTGATTTTCAAACAATCTTAATAAAGTCACACCTACTATGTATCTAAAATTTGAAACTTGGTTATTTTGTAAACAAGTGGTAACAAGAACTAAAAATATACAAAATATTTCAATAGCAGTCAGAATTTCTAATGTGAAATCTTACTAATCTTTTCTTTTACATAGTTAATGCTATTAATTAATTGTATAGTTTCTAAATAAATAAAAAAAATATACATAATCATAAGTATATATAAATGTCTTGGAAAGTCGCAAAGTAAATTTTGAAGATAATAATATCCCTAAAATTTTAATTTGTGATTGACGTGAGGTTTTGGAGACGTAAAAGAGAGTGATATTCGGCCTGTCAAATTGTCCACCATGATGCCGTTGGGGGGGTGGCATCTGCATGCAGGGGCATACAGACCTCTATGTGGGGGATGGAGAATCTCTGATAGAAGACATTACATGGATGATATCTTGTTACCAATTGTTTGCCCCTTTTGCTGGTGCTGGCAGAGGTGAGTATGTGTATCAACAACATAAGCCTGTCCTCACACTGCCAGGATCAGGCAGCAATTTTTTTCAGGTACTGGACTGGCCTGCTGAGTAACTGGTCCTAATCTGAATAAGCATGTATAGGACTTGCTAGGAAGAGCAGTTAGAGACAGACAACCTGCTTCTAGGAGTGGACATTGATGCCCCAGGAAGTCATCCAAAATGTCATCAATGGTATGGGGGAACAGGTACAGAGAAGTCATATCCAATAGAGAAGAAGCCTACCAGCTACTAAAGTCCTATTTTGTTAAGTTTATTCATATTAATAAGTTTTTTTTTTTGATATTTGTGAAGCCAAATATTGGCATTTTTTTGTTAATTTTTTTGTTTTTTTTAGTTGTAAATGATATTTACAACTTGCTTGGTATTGTTTACCTGTGATATTTGTAATAAACAAGTTTTGCCAATATTGAACATCTCTTGTTTGTTTTCCCTCAAATATTTTGGGAAAAAAATAAAAAAACACCTCATTATCCTTTAATTTTTGTGAGTAGTGTAGTTTTTAATGAAATGCTTCTATTATTCATTTTTAAAGTTTGATGTAGTTTATCAAAAACACTTGAATTCTAGGAAATCCTTTTTCTTTATGTAAAAAACATAAAAGTGAGTAATATTCAGTACAGTGTTTAAAGAGAACAAGATTTTAAGTACTTACAATATAGGATCCAGAGGAGCCTTGGGTGACACAGAACGTGCTGCTAGACAACATAAACCAAAACTGATTTTAGTTAAGATATACAAATATTTTTTCCTTTTAACAAAGTACTTTGAACATTTTGGCTATTATTAAAATGATTTGCATAGCTGTCTTTGTAATGAAATAGGTACCTTTCATAATATATGATAAAATTGTTTAATTGATGAAAATTCTCTTTCACGTGTAATTAGAGTATATACTCTAAAATAATTTAGCAGAACTAAGCACATTTAATTCACCTACAAGTTAATCTCGGGATCTGACTCAGCCATATTAAGTCAACTTATAATTGCTCATGAGTAACAAATTTCCAGTTTGCAGAATAATTACTTTATTTCAATGAAATATTTATAATTTGATGAATTACAAATTAATCCAATGGATTTAAAATAAACCTTATAGAAAACTGTATGGAAAAACACTATTACATTTTTCTCAGCTTATAAACAAGTTTATTCACATAAACGTTATTGTTATAGTTAAGAAATAATTCTTGCCAGATTTAATAATTATTAAATTAAATGTTTATGAAGGGAAACAAATCTGAAAAATGTTAACCTACTACATTCAACAGCAGTATTGTACATAATTGTTTCTCACCTGAGTTATCAGGTTCTTTAAGTACTTCAATGTAAGAAACAGGTACAATCCCCCTGTTATTCCCAATCCTTCCTTCGTACCAGTTCTGATCTACCCTTTGAATCAGTGCCAACTCCTGTCCCTTAAAACCAAGAACAGTAAGTTTACAAACTACTTAAATGTAAGACATAGACTATATTAAACCTTCACCTTCTTTGATGATAACATTTTGATGTCTAGCTATACAATATAGTTATCAACTATTTACACTTATGTCATATTCACATAAACTTGTATAAAACATTTTTAGTTATAAAATGATGTTAATTCAAATAATTAATAAAAAAGAATACTCAAAATCTGAGATCTCATGGTGTGAAATGTTAAGACATTCCATTCTTAAAAGTGTTTTTTGTTAAATTATATGTTTCAAAGGTATATAAATTTTCTATTATAAAACATTACGTAAGCTAATTTAGATTCAATGAGTACAGTATGATATGTCAAAATATTCAGAGGACTCAAATCCTTATTGTTGAATATTGTTCAATTTGTCATATTCAAACACACATAAATAAAAGGAATTATTATTCATTGAAACTAAATTAAATTTATTAAATGCAAGTTGATCTTGAGCAAGATTATTGTTAGCAAAAATACTGTTATCTTGCCTGACAAAACGTAATAGATATGCCACTGTTATCTTGCCTGACAAAATGTAATAGATATGTCACTGTTATCTTGCCTGACAAAACGTAATAGATATGCCACTGTTATCTTGCCTGACAAAACGTAATAGATATGCCACTGTTATCTTGCCTGACAAAACGTAATAGATATGCCACTGTTATCTTGCCTGACAAAATGTAATAGATATGCCACTGTTATCTTGCCTGACAAAATGTAATAGATATGCCACTGTTATCTTGCCTGACAAAATGTAATAAATATGCCACTGTTATCTTGCCTGACAAAACGTAATATAGATATGCCATTTGTCAGTTTTTCCTTGTTTTTTTATTATTTTTAGCCTAAAGTGGTGTCTACTGCAATAGGCAAAATAAAGTATCAAATGATATATGTTAATGAATGTCAATTAAACTAGTGTATCTTAATGGTAGAGGTAATTGTGATATACAGATAATCAATAACCACATGCAGTGTTTAAAGCTAATGTAGCTTGTGTGGTAAAGGTAATAATCATTATTATAGAAAATTGCCTACCATGGTTAATATAGCAAGTGTAGCTTGAAGAGTAGGGGTAGAAGTAGGAATGATATATAGAAGCTTCATCACTGCAGGTGAATTAGCTCGTGTAGTTTGACAGGTGGGGATAGTCATGGTACACAGAAGCTCAAGTACTATTGGTAATTTGTCTAGCATAACTTAAAGGATAGAGCTAATTGTTTACGTGCAAAATCTAGGATTATGGGTAATTAGTGTAGCTCGATAGGTATAGGTAATCATGGTACTAAAAATATCAAGAGCTTTAAGTAATTTATCTAATGTAGCTTAAAAGAAATTAGGTATATAGAAATTGAAGGATTATAAATGATAAATGCAGGTCTAGTGCATGGTAATGGTATATAGAAAATGACAGGTTACATGTAATTTAGTTAATGTAGTTTGAGGAGTTAATTGTATATAGAAACTAAAACTCCAGATAGATTATCTAGTATAGTTTCTGGGGTAGAAGTAAGAACTGTAGTACATATAACATCAAGAACTACAGAAAAATTATTTTGTGTACATCATGGGTAAATGTAAATCATAGTATACATAAGCTTGAGGACTACAAGTACTTTAGCTAGTGGAGCTTGATGGGAGGAGGTAATTATTACATATTGAAATTAAAAGCTGTAGGTACATAAAGTAGTATAGATGAAATGTTTAAGATAATTCTAGTGTATAGAGAATAACTAACTACAAGGAATATCTATTGCAGATTAAAGGATAGACATAATTATGGTATATATATATATATAAGCTTGAAGACTACAGGTAATTTAGTGTGGCTTCTGGAATAGAGAAAAATAAGACATTTACAGAATCCAGAGGTTTAGGTAAATTAACTTCTGCAGCTTAAGGGATAGAGGTAACTAAGGTATAAATAAAGTAAAGAATTACACTAAATTTTATTATTGTAACCTAATTTGTAGAAGAAGTGAAGGCATCTACACAAACAAGGAAGGATAAGAAACTTAGTGTAGTTTGAGGGGTAGAGGTAATCAAGGTATAGAGAAAATAAGTACACACACACAATCAAGGATTACAAATAATTTAGCTAGTTTAGCTTAAGTTTTAGAAGTAATCAAACATAGAAAATAAAAAAACTACATGAAATTTATCTGTTATACTTTGAAGGGTATTAAGAACTACAGGAAGTTTATCAGTTTTAGCCTAAAGGTAATCATGGTATATAGACTTGAAGGACTAAGTAACTTAGTGTAGTTTGTACCTTTTTTTGGAAGGATATGTAACAGTCCTTTCCAATGTAAAATATCCATACACTCGGGTCATAAAGATATGTTTAGATTGGGGACTTAGATTTTTCAAGTTTGGGATATCTCTTATACTTAATGGCACTGGAAAACAAAGGAATATGGATCTCTTTGAGGAACAGGACCATCCAGAAAGAAATTTGCAACAAGCCATACCCCAAATGTGGTAAGCAGAAGTATGGCATCTTGAGAACCTGTGAACACAAAGATCAGTGGTAAAAACTGTTCATATGCCCCAGATAACAGTACACACCATAATCAAGAATGATCTCTATCTGGAAACAAGGACAACAGGGTAGTATGAATTCAACAGGATAAGGCTTTCAGTAAAACCTCCAGTTAAACCATCCCATATTTCAAGTAGCTGGAAAATGAAATGGATATTCATGCTATTCCATAGGAAGACATGCCAGCCAAGTTGCTGAACTGTTAAAATCGAGATGTGGGAAACTATTGTATTCATACACTAGATGGATTATGGAAAGCAGTAAGGAGGGATGGTGTGCTTTGGATATGGCAGTCTTACAACATTCTTACAACAGTCTTTCTGAAATGGAAACCACACTGCAGAGCTATTGTCAAGATGCACAGCCATCAGGTACGGCATGATCAGACTTGGTGTCATGAACTGTATGAACATGGCAAGCTTCCAAAATGGTTTTATATAATGTACTCAATATCTGTATTACAGTGGTAAGTCTGAAGGCTTATAATGCAAAAAGCCAGGTGAGCTTTACACAGATAGTCCATTGTGCAGCTTTGTGCTTAACAACAAACAAACTGTATTACCTGTGTCTGTAATATTCTTAATGCAATAAATGTTAGTTGTTACCACTGTAGCAACATTTCATGTAATCCTTGATTTCCTCTACCACTCTAGCTACACTAACTAAATTATCCGTAGTTCTTGATCTTATATATCATAATTATCTCTATACTCAAGGTACATTAGCCACCTGGTCTTCTGTAATCTCTAAAGCTACAATAGCTAAAGTATGAAAATATTTTGTTTCTCTACATACTGTAATTACCTTTACCATTCAAGCTTTACTATCTGAATTACATGTAGTTACTTATTTTCTGTGTACTCAATTACTTCTATCCCACAGCTACACTATCTCTCTGACAATTCTGGCTGTACTTTTACTTCCTAACTGCAGCTATAGTCAAACAGTTTTGTTTTTGGAACATATTACAATCATGTGGTTTGGGATGAATGGGAGAGAGGCTACTTGATCTGAGGAGCTGATAAAGTAGATATCCTAATAAAGATAGCACTGCATGGGACCTTAAGATGTTAGTAAAGCAATTATTTAGTGTCATCATCTTCAGTAATGACTGGTTGTGTTAAAAGCACTGATTACTAACATAGTTAACTAACTCTAGAGTGATGCTCAGCTAATCATAAAATATTTGCCAAAATCTTCAAAAGCTGCAATGAACATTCATTATTCCAAAAGATATTTTTTCTTTACAGATGGGAAGTTTATTACTGTGAGAAATTACATAAGGTAAAACATAATTAAGCTCAGTGGCTTATAATCTTTTTTATGTTAAGTAATACTGTTAACTATTACTGTTAAGTAATAGGAAGCTTAAGTTTTAAAAAAAATTATAACTTTTTGTAATGTACAAAAAAATGAATTTGAGTTTTTGACAATAAATGTTTACTTGTAATCAACAGAATAGTCCAGTTCGAAAAAGCAACTGGCTGTAGAACAAAATGTATATTTATAGAACCTGAAAAGGCTCCTAAAATATGCACAAAATTGAGTCAATATATAAAATTAATATAGTACAGAAGGACCAAAAGGAATAAGAAAGAGAAAAAATTTTGAACTTTCAGCTTTCTAGAAACTTGCATTGCGGTTTATGTTAAGTGCACCATAAGTTTTGAGTAGTGACATTCCCCAAAACTAAATGTGACGGTAGTTGACATAATATAAACCTTCCTAGAGGCATAACAAATATAATTTTAAACAGATGCATTTATCATGTGACTGGAATAATTCTTCTTTTCATTACTATTTTTCAATCAGCATTTTTTTTAATACAGGATGAACATAACTACCATTACTAAAGCTACTGTTCATTAATGATTCCCTTACCTTAGTTATATTTTATCTAGAGCCATTTCTTAACTGGTAAAATGAATATTTTTTGATGCACTTAATCAATGAGATTTTTTTTGTTTATTTTTTTTTAAAGCAAATAAGTAGACCACAGTATAAACAACATTTGCGTACATATTTATTTGGTAAAAGAATTTCATACATCTCAATATTGTTTTCATAATTTATGAAAAGGTTACACATTTTTATACAAATCAATTTACAACTGCATTGTTACTGTTTTCCATCAGATGAAATTTTTGCAGTTTTATTCTCTAGCATCAGTGTCATACTCTTGGGATATTGTAAGGAAAAAACAAGCATTTATCAGATATCTGTACAGCAACTGTTTAGTTTCAGGTGAATATTGATTTGTAGTGTTGTGATACTGAAGGGAAAATAAGCACTATTTGTTGAAGAAAACAGAAGAACGGTAAATTGTACAGGTGGAAAGAATTGTATTGTGATAGATTAAGTTTAAAATATAAATAAACTGTATTTATAGGTGAAGATAACTCATCAGAAAAAGTAAGAACTATAAAGTTAAAACATGGACAAAACTTGAAAGTAAATCTTGACTCCTTCAGGACAGAATCTACTCTCTGAAGACAGAAATTAATTTGCCTAAAAACTGCATTCATGATGCACATTGTTTCTGTAGGCAGCCAAACAGATGAGAAGAATGTTGAAGTATTTCTGCTTCATGTGATATTTGTAAAGTAGGATACAATACAACTATCCCATGAAACAGTGGATAACTCCTGTGATCAGGTTCTGCTACAGAAAATAACATCTTAGGCTGAATTTAGCATATGAACTAGACTAAATTTAATGTGTTCCAAATTAGAACCTAGAAAAGAACATTTAGTAGATATGAAATACATATTTTTTGTACGAGTGAGAAATATGTTATACTGTTTACCTAGAAAAATGCACCATGTTATAATATTTAGCACAAACTTTGCTGCATAATAAAATATGCATATTGTGTTAACATATACATCCAGTTCAAAATACAACTAAGTTTACAAATAATATGAAACATGCAAGATGGTCAGCAAAGCTAAACAGTAGTCAGCACACAGATCTGACAGATGCCATATTTATTTTTGTCTGAAGCACATTTGCAATTATACTTTACATAGTTTCTTTTTTTTTAATCATGCATAATAATTAAGATTCTTTTCATTTGTACAAGGGTACTTACAAATGATAACTTTTAAGAAGGTATTTCAGTGTGAAGTTCAACATTCCAATATTTTGTGCCAAACAGTTTCAGGCATTTTTCTTAAAAAAGGCAAGAAGCTTTTTTTCTTATCACACAAAATCCTTATTTCAAACATTGAAATAATAAGGTTTTATGCTGTAATATGTTTCTTTCTCAAGCAAGATCTTTTAGTATAATATTACTAATAATACAATTTGTTAATGTAATACAATTATGTAGTTTTCAAAATTCTTAAAACGTTTAACCCTCTCTTTTTTAGTTACATTCAAAATGTAATTAAGCTTCTTTATCATCACTGTATGTCAATATACTTGGCATGCAATTTGAGTTATACATTTTGAATATTAGACAAGTTTTAATTTCAAAAGGAAATATTTAAACAAATTTTCAGCCTTCACTTTTATGTATCATGTGACACTTCTTTACTCAAAGTTACCCAATTTTAGAATTACTTTCCACCCATATATTATTTTCTAACTTTCTGAGGGCTTATACACTTAGATATGAAAATGAAAATTTATAGTGTCTGTTCTTCTTGCTTAATGATTATATGTCATAAACTGAAACACATAACTTAGTTAGAAAGCCAGTTAAACTATAATAGTTTTAGGATTGTTTTTTGTTTTTGTTGATATTTTGGGTTCTAAATTGTATATTTAAAATAAATAAAAGTTAAGTATTAACAACATCTCTACAAAAAAAAGTTGGGTTTATTGCTCTTGAAGTGTTGATGAAAGTTAAGTACAAGGCCCACAAGTGAGTACTAAATTTCTTGTTTATTATTATAATAATAACTAAAATGTAAAAATTAGAAATTTATTAAGTAAAATAATAATAAATTCTCAATAGCACAAGCACATCTTATGATTACAGCATGTTATAATATGACCAAGCGTGCTGGTAATCCTGTGCTGTGTTCATACAAAGCTTACTTGTTGTGATACTTCTCTCTGATGCTAATCTAACTGACTGTAAGACAATAAATCTAAATGACTCAGAAATCTAAATTGTATTAACTTTGGCTGTAAGAATAAATAGTGTATATATTTTTTTGTAGCAACATACAGATTAACATACAATCACTTTAGAATAAAAAAAGGGCAATTTTGATTTTCATATTTTTTGTGGTGGTTACGTGGTCGGTCAAACGGACTGAGCATGTAAGTGTTAAGGTATATAAAATAATTTTTTTTTATATTTATATAGGGGGTCACACAAATGAAATTTCAACTATGTAAAATGAAAAAAAAAAAGTATTATTAATTTTAACATGAAAATCACCTTGTACTCAGACTAGTCAGTCTGACTCCATAAATTCACAGTTAAGTCTTTAGTAAAAAATACTTTAAAAAATCTAATATTTTTGTGTACAAAAAACTTGTAATATTTAATAAAAGCTTGCTAAATTTAGTGAAAATACACTTAGTAAATTAAAATGTATAGTGTGTACAACAGTTTTATGGTGGTCACAATATTGATAAAAATGACCAAACTCATTTACATAGAGTTAAATTTATAACTTATCACTGACAATGCCACAATAGTTGGTTTAGTATGTTAAGAATCTTTATTTAAAGTTTGATTATGTATACATACTGAACTTTTCTAAAGTTAAGAACTCTAAATATGTAGAGGAAAAAGTGTAAGGATGTGTATTAATAATGTTACAGTTAAATAATTATAAAATAATAGTCCTTTATCAACCTCATTCATTTAAATATCAACACTATGTTATTGTTAACTTTCTTCCATGTCAGAAACATGAAAATATAATTAGTATGTGTTGGATTCAGCTTCAGGGATTTTGTAACTTTGAATGTAAAGAAAACTACTTACTGCTTATGTTTCACTATTGGATGTAGCCACATTCGTAATTAGCTAGTTTGTACCCAAATGCGTTGAAATATCTCTGTCATTAAGAGTGGAGCAGTGCTTTTTTTTTTTTCCTAGCTTACGGTATACTATAATGACTCAAGCTATACTAACCGCATTACCTGTTACCCTTAAGCTTTTATGTGTCATAATTACCTCTACCTCTTAATCTACACAAGTTACATTTAATATCTATAGCCCTTAATTAAGTTTTCTTACATTATAATTACTTTTCTATACTTAATATACATTTCATTCTATAGAATTAGCATTTATTGAAGGTTCTAGCTCTTACAGAGTATTCAATTTACAGTAAAGTTCAACAGAAGTAGTATTCTTTGGAAGTTTGATTTCTGACAAATTGTTCATATAATGATGTTCAGCAGGGTTTGTTGAAAACTATTTCTAATCAATTAATTCAGGTATAGTAAAGGTTATGTGAGGGTCTTTTGTAACTAATAATTGTGTTAGTTTAATCAAATGAAGAGCATACCTTGTACAGAGGAAGCTCTAGTGGTGTTTGGACAAGAAAATTGTACTTAGCCAGACCTTTTCCTTCTGTTTTGGTCTTCTTGGGTTGGAGGTTTACAGCTTCTTGTGGTATTAACTAGGAAAGTGAAGAAAAAACTTTATTTAACGTTTACTACATGTATGATGGAAATGAGATCAAACAAGATGACTGCATTAATTCTGAGCTTGTTAAGAAAAAAGTGGAAAGTTGAAAAAATGATAAGGCTCCTCGGCCAGATAATATTTTCCCAAGGGTTTTGAAGGAGGTTAAAGATTGGATATGTGAGCCACTTGCCACTATTTTTTTGTCAGTCCTTGAATAGTGGGCAGGTACCAGAGGATTAGAAGTTAGCTAATGTTACTCCTCTTTTAAAGGGAGGTGATAAAAATTGTTCCAGTAATTGTAGACCCATTAGTCTTACATCAGTTGTGGGAAAAATTTTGGAAAGTCTGTTAAAAATCTTGCCTTACTAAATCTTTTAACATTTTTTGAAAGGTTACTACTTATGTATATTTGGTGTATCTGGATTTTCAGAAAGCATTTGACAAGGTGCCACATGAAAAGCTTTTAAAAAAAATTAGCTCTTTTGGTGTGAGGGAAAAGTTAGCAAATTGGATAGAAGTTCGGCTGGATGGAAGAAAGCAGAGGGTTGTTACAAATGGAGTTCAGTCAAACTGGATTAATGTCACAAGTGGGATACCTAAGGGCTCAGTCTTAGGACCTTTGCTCTTTTTTATTTATATCAATGACATACATGAAGGGCTAGTTAATAAATTACTTGCAAATGATATTAAGTTCTTGGGTGTTACTAGCTGTGAAGAGGATGCTGCTAATTTACAAAAGAATTTAGATCAGTTAGTGAGTTGGGCAAATAAATGGCAGATGGGTTTTAATTATAATAAATGTAAGATAATTCGTGTGGGTTATCATAATTTGAATTATAAGTATAATTTGGATGGGAATAACCTTAATAGTGTTATGAAGGAAATGGATCTTGGTGTAATAGTTGATCAGTCTCTAAAGCCATCCAAGCAGTGTGCTGTTGCTAGTGGTAGGGCAAATAGGATTTTAGGTTGTATCTATAGAAATATTGAATACAAGTCTAAAGATGCTATAATTTCATTGTATAAGTCACTGGTTAGGCCACATTTGGAATATTGTGTTCAGTCTTTGGCTCCTTATCTTAGGAAGGACATTGAATTGTTGGAAAGGGTTCAAAGACGGGTTACTAGAATGGTGCCTGGGATGAAAAGGTTGTCATATGACAAGAGGCTGAAATCTCTCAAATTCTTGAAAAAAAGAAGATTTGGGGAGGGGGGATCTGATTGAGGTGTTAAAGATTGTAAAGGGAATTGGTAGTGTTGATGTATCATCTTTTTTATATTTAACTATCAGAATAGTAGGACTAGTGGACACAAATAAAAATTTTGGCAAGGTAGGAGTCATCTTCAGCTAAGTTTTATTTTTCTAACAAGGTTGTTGCCTTCAGATGCTGTAGAAGTAGTAAATTTAAGTGAGTTTAAGAAAAAGCTTGATAAGAATATGAAGGAAAAAGGGTTGGGTTTAAAATTTTTGATTTTATTTGTTTTAATCATTTTAATTTCGTTTTGAGGATGGAACAGCCAAGATAGACCAATAGGTCCCATGTTGTCCCAAAATATTACATTATGTTATAATACAACTAATTTCAGTGATTTTTTTGTGGTTGATGCAAATAAGACTGAAATACTATCATTATTTTATTCAATTACTCCCTTGTTTACTAAAAGAAAAGTTCATAATTTTACTCTCTCTATATATATTAGCCAATGTAATTTCTAACAGAAGAAAATATAACAGTAGTTTAATTTTTTAATTAGTTGTTGTACAAAACTAAAACATACTACAAAATTTCCTGGTACTTCAGTTTTCAATATCAACAGTAAAACATTACTTTTTCATACAAGTGCCCCTGACAAGATTAATAAAATACCAATTACAAAACTGTTTACTGTGTTGGAAAGACAGCCAACAAAGATTCATCACTTCACTTATTTTGCCACTTATTATCAGAAAAAAAGTAAGCTCTAAGTATTAGCAACATATTTACTTTTTCATAATAAAATCAATTTAAAACTACTAATCCTACAGACGGGCCAAATAATGTTAGCAGTAGTTTAATATCTTGCTTTATCTTTTATAGAAACTAAGACTATTCTCACATTATTTACAACAACTACTCAGAGTAGAGCTGGGCAGTTAGCGATATTTGCTGATCAATGGCCCTCATTAATCAGTTACATTTGATTAGTGGATTAGTAAATAAAAAAAAACAGCAGGTGTGACCAGCCGCTTGTCTTTTCCTCTAACGAACAGTAGCAGGTAGCTTTGTCATAACAAAGACACGGGTAAGCAAGTTTGGTGACAATAATTTGAATAATTGAAGATAGTAATAATCAGAAACAGTAATTTCAGTTAATTAATTAGTTTACATCACACTAATTAATGTAATCACTGCTTGTGAGTAATTGATTATTGGAATTAAATCACCCACCTCTCATTCTGCATATGTTAGTAAAACGAAATTAAAACTAACAACCTAAAATGTAACAGAAGATAAAAATAATTAATGTTATACTTGCAAAATTACTTCATGTTCACTTTAAAGAAAAACTCACCTCTACATAACTGAATGGTAATATCCCTACCATCCCATGATGTTCTCCTAAGAACCAATTTTTATCGATATTTTTGGTTATGTAGACAATGTCACCTTTCTTCACACTTAACTCTCTGAAAAGTTTGATTTTCAGTGGGAAAAAAAAAGTGAGATAAATTAAAAATTACTTCAGTGAATGTATTGCAGTCACAGTGATATTCATTTCTAAAAACTAGATATATACTTAGTTGTTCAAAGATATGTTAATACAAATTCATTGATGATTTAAATTAAAATATGTTCATTTACTTTTCTCCCCATTATCAAACTAATTATACATAAATTCATTTCAGCATTTATATCCATTATACAAACTTAATATTCTGTTATTTTGAAAAAAGAAATGTTACACTATATTTTAAGACAATTTTACTCTAGCAGCATCATTTATTAGCTGTCAAATCAGTTAGTAAATACACACCATATGTTAAGACAAAATTGTCCAATGTTAATAATTAAGTCTTACTTAGCTGAATGTGCGGTAAAATTGTACAAAACCCGGGCAACATCGCGAGGTTCAGAAGTCTTTGGAAGTGGAGTTGTTGGAGAGCCAAAAGGATCTTCATAGCGGTTTAATGCAATTGGAGACTTCTGAGAAGGACTGAAGTAGATACATAAAAATATCTTTAATATAGATATTTTTTTTATGGAAATGTGATCTTTTTTACATGTAAGCTGTTCTACACTTTTTGGAATGAAACAGAAATTTCTTTTTAAGTAAATTTAAAATAAGAACTATCTACAATGAGTAAAGCTATGATAGAACCTTAATAATGACTCACATAAAGTTATCACTATGTCGACGCTTTTCCATTTCTTCCAGCTGTTGAAGCTCCTTTTTGTATTTCTCTTCTTCATAGAATTTTCTCATCTACAAACATTTATACATATAAAATATCTATATATATCTAAAAAGGTTTAGATATAGTATTTATGTAATTACTATCTTCTAGGTTTTTTTAAATATTTTGTCAATAATTCAGGATATTAACTGGTTGATTAGAGCATTGGCTTCTTAGGGTACAGTTAATGTAAACCATTACAGTCAATGGAAAGGAAAGAGTTAACACTGATCACATACTGCATCCTCTTGCTTATGTCTCAGTTCTTCCTCGTCGATATAATCTTTTTCCAAGTTCCTTACTGGACTTCGATAGTGAATGTTTACTACTGATTCCTGGTATTGGTGAGGGGAAGCTAAGAGAAGAAATGGAGACTAATGATGTAAGAATAATTAAGTGTTTCTATCCCCAATGAGGGGAGAAGCTAAAAAAAAAAGAAGCAGATATACAGAGAGAGGTTCAGTACATTATATTAAAATGATTTTGGAGCCTCATTATATTGTTACAACCAGGCATATTCTGTTGGGCAGTTGTGATTCTTAACAACAGCTCTGGAGCAGTTTTTACTGCAAAAGACTCAGTTATAAGATTATTATGTCAAACGCATGCCCCTCTTACATGCCAGTTTTCCATTAGCCCTCTAATGTATGAGGAGAGTGGTTTCCCAGCACCCATTTCAATGTTCCAAATGCATAGGCACTTCATCTGACAACCTTACTGTGATAAATGAATGGATATTTTGTGAAAGCAATCTGTGGACATAATTTATGTTGCTCTTCTTGATGGGGGTCCTTACTGGATATGTTGCATACTTTTGTCTGAATCAGGTGGACAACTTTTGCCACTGACCTTTCTTTGTGTTCATGAAAATTTACCTATTACAAGATGTCACACTGTGCTTTCTACAGCTTGGGTATGAAATAATGCAGGTCTCTTTTTTTTGGATGGTTCTCCTCAAGTTACTCCATATTCCTTTGTTTTCCAATGTCATTAAGTACAAAGGATATTCCTGCCTTGAATATTTTAAATCCCTGATCTAAATACATCTCTATGTCATGAGTGTATTCATGTCTTGTGTTGGAAAGGAATATCACATACCCTTCCAAAAAGTGATCAATTTCTGATGGTTTTGGTTATGTGACTTGCTGATTTGCATACTCAAAATCATTTTAATAATAAAAGGTACTCAACCCTCTGTATACATACATATATATATATTTATATTCATATATACATAATATTGAACTGTTTTATCTTCAGCAAGTTAAAGTTAAGGGACTTGTGAAATTATTTTTTATTTCTAGTGAAGAACAAACAAGTGAAAGGACAATGTTTTACTCACCACTGAGGGAGAAACTAAAGGAGAAACAGTTTTATAATAATAATAACTTATCTATTCCTACCTCCAAGGAGAAAAAAGCTAAACAGCTGATCAAATAGTGGGATTTGACCATAATTCTTATAGTGCACCCATGGCTCTAAATTGCTAAGTCATGTTTTTATGATAAAGGGATAAGAACCAAAGAACATCAAATTCACAGTCTATACACACTGACCACTAGACTATGCTGGACCAGATTAAAAACATAGAACTATGTTTTTTTTTATCTCCAGTGACAGGAAAAGCAGAATGGAAAAATAGAAACTAGCATTATAATGTTAGTTATAATTATAAGGGAACTGCTGAAGGATAAACAGAGATTAACAATATCAAATTAATTATGTGTTTCCAGTAAGAGAAAAACTGAAAGATAAACATTCACTGCTAATATGAAATACAATTGTTTATTTTTATTTCCAGTGATGGTGAAACTAATGGTAAAGCAAAAACTATACTTATTGTTAAACATTATGTACAACAAGACTGTGAAAACAGTTGGTGAGTACCTTAGAAATTATATTTTAATTTAAACATTATCTGTAACTGAGTGCGAGTAATATTTATATTGTAAAAACTTGAGTGACTTTTCTGCAGGAAATGCTTTTCTTATTTTAGATGACATTTCCAATTATATCGTTCTGTATTAACAAACACCAACTCCACCAATGGTTCTTTTTCCCTTTTATCGAATTAAGTTATGTTTCTCCTTGAAACAGTGTAACGGACATTATATTATGTAGCTGCAAAGCAAAGTTCAGAAGATACATGATTGGCAGGGCAAAGCAGCAACCATCATGACCAGCGCAGAAGAGCTAAAACAGCATAGCTATTTCTCCTACCTGGTTCACGGGTGTAGCTAGGATAATATGCTGTTAAGATGTCAGCCTCATCGAGCCTGGGTGTTGGTGGTGGTGGACCAATCAACGGTTCTGTCACAAACAATTCTCTTATAATCAGTTAGCAACAGCAGCATTCACCATGCACAGTGAGTTTATATAGATTTAGTAACATTATTAAGCTTTTAATACTTAAAGAAAAGTTATTCAACACAATGTTTTTATTTTTTCAGTAAATATCTAATGAAATTAAAAAACAAAAACTAATAAATGTTTAAAAAAAAGTGCAAATTGTTTTATAAAATAAAGGCTATTTTGCTAGTTCAATCCAAACAATATACTAAAATATTTATTCAGAAACTTCCATTAATCAAAAAGTAAACGATTTTTGGAGCAACAAACACTCCCAAGTTAATACTGATAAAAACTTGTAAAACAAAACATACACAAAGCAAAAACACACCTATCAAAACAAGAGCTTTTAACATGCAAACTTATATAGTGTAAAATTTTCAAGCTATTAAAAGGACAAAGTATGCTCACATTTTAACATTCCAAAGGAAATTCAAAGATATTTATAGTTCCAACACTGAAAGTGGTAATAATGCAGGAAAATATATATATTATCGTTAGTATATTAAAAGTAGTGTGATAATATTTGACCCTTGTCATAACATGCAACTTTCATTGTGGTTAAATAACACAATCAGTAGTTCAGGAAAACTTAAAACACATCAACAGACCATTTTTAGACATGTCATCTATGGAGAAAAAAGCATTTCAAACTAAAGCTATCCTATTTTACAAATTAAATATCTGTTTGGAATGTTTACTTGAGGGCACCACCTAACTATGGCTCATGTTTAACATCTTGTTTAATATAGTTTTTCAACACATTTCTTTATTTTAACCTAAATTTTTAACTGAAAACAGATATGTATGTGAACATTGCTCCCCATTTTCTGTTTATTAACGAAAAGTTTGTAACTTTTATTGCAGTGACTTATATATTGACCTGCAAAGAATGTGACTTTTCTAGCCCTCAACCACTTGTTTCAAGTCAAGCATTTATTGCATGAAACCTGTTTTGTCTAGCAGATTAATTACAACTTATCTGTTTCTTACATTTAAATACTTGCTTGCATGGAATTGGGACAAAGCTTTGTAACTCATCAATACCACATACCCACTTGGATACATCAACAAAAATTACTGTATGCTCTTATTATAAGGTTTAAATCTAATTTTAACAGATGTATGTGCTATATACATTGAGAATGTCCCGACTGTATTTATTAAAAAGTAAAATAATGAGGATGTCTTCACATCATCTTACTTTTTAATAAATAAAAACAGAAACTGCAACCAATCACAAAAAGTTTAAATTGAAATTCTTATCTTTAAGAGAAAGCATTTAAACAGTGTATTATCGTGACAGAGAATACATAAAATTTTGTTGCTGTGTATAAAATAGTATTTCGGGTAGACTTTTGTTTGACATCATGTCCAGTCCAGGTTATGAGTTCTGTTATTGAGTCGTGATGTGTGGCAAACAAAAGATAAATTTAAAAACACTTGTGTTAAATGTAGAAAGCATGAAAACAAGTTATTATATTGCAAGGACATCATCATCACTCAACAGTTATAATCTTAAAAATAAATTACTTTACCAGTTTTAACTCTTCAACAAAATCATTTAGGTAGTACTTTCCATAAACAAGTGAACTGCAGAGAACCATAACACATGGCTGATCAACTGTCTGTGTGTCTATTACTTAAAAGATACTGAGCTGTGTGATCATATAAATATTATTAATAGCTTTAAAAACTTTATGAAAGAAATATGGAGTTTTTCTTTATATAACATGATCTCAGTGCTGGTAGAATAATTATTAAATCTAATATCTCATCACATTCTTTTCTGATATCTATTAAGTATAAAATTAGCAATGAAGCTAATGTTATAGTTACTGAAATAAAAATTCTCTGTTACTATTTTCCAGTACCTGCTCATTTGTGCATGCATGACAAAAAGTTTATACACAAACTCAAGAGAAAAATATTTAATTTCAGATAAACTTAACTATCTCTAGAGTATAAAAGAAATTAAATGTATACATAGCTGGTATGATACTACCAATATTAATAACACTAAACATTTTATTAAACTTCACTTCCAGTATCTTTTCACATAAATAATGAAATAAACAGAATATATAAAAAAGAAAAAGTAGGACCAATGCACATAAGGTGTTTAATTCTTGTAATTGTGATCCTTATTACCATAAAACATTTTTGTTGTATCTTCAGTAATCAATGCTGCGACTACCATAAAACAACTGTATACAGTAAAGTTGTTTTATGGTAGTCACAGCATTGATTACTAGAGATACAGTCTCTAGTAATCAATGCT